TTAAGGTTGGTAGGTGATGAGCCAACCTTATGGGGAGAGCCTTCGCGATAATTTTGCAGGACATGTTTAGCAAAGATATCAAACGTCAATTTCCAATATGATCTCTCTTGATACCTTTTCGTATAAGGAGGTGATGACCCCTTCCACCATAGTGGTAGTGAGGGGTTGACTCACCAATACATCATGAAGCGGATTGGTCAGTAAAGGGGCAAATGTCTTTCAATGAGCTCAACAAAAGTCAACTGAGAGTTCATCCAGATTTAATATTTTGTTTTTTGCTTTTGGGGTGGGCTAGTTCATAAAACTCTTCTTTGGTACAGGGACGAAATTCAATATGACACAGAATGGTGATCTTTGCCAAAAGGTGGAGTGTTTTGTATGTAGATCATCAAATGGTCTTTTAAGGGTCAGAATGTCATTGATGTATTCCTTAACATAGTTGCATATAAGTTATGATTCTTCTGTTATAGGTTGTATTAGTGAAAAAAAATGTACGTATTTTTTTTTTAGAGGTTGTGAATGTCTTACAATAAGGTTTTAAAGTTTTTTTTTGTCGTTCGATCATTACAAATTACGCATTTTATTGATAACTACTTCTTTCACTACTAATTATATTTGATATTTTAGTTTCTAGCTATTAAAGTACGTCACTTCTTTTTGTAGCCTGTACAAATATAAGATTAGGTGTACTCTTTATGATTTATCAATTTGTTTTACCTCTTTTATGAGTTTTTTGGTTTTGCAATTTTTATGAAAAACTTCAATAGTTAAAAAGATAGAAGAGGTTTTTTTTATTGTCTTTATTGCCTCGTCAAACCATTTTTAGTCTAAGGAATAATTGGGGTGTACTTGTTTCCATTTGTATACAAAGTATGTCATCCATTCGATAAAGTCATGCCATTGAGGTGGGTGGTATTCCCGACAATGATTCTAAATGACAGGAAAGTGGTCGGCGAATGAGGAGACACCCATTTTTACCAAGGAGTATAACTTTCATGATTGTGTCCTCATCATGAAGTAGTCTAGTCTTCTTTCTAAAGTAGGAATGTAGTGTTTTGAGTGACCTAACTAAGTGTAATAATGTTTTTTAGGGTTCAAACCCCTTAATGCATCAACTAACCTTTTTGTTTCCTTATATCCATTTAGCATAAGTAAATCTGCCAGGAGGTCCATCGTGGATGAAGAATTTAGGCTAGGGTCTCATATTGTACTCCAATTTGACCCCTAAACAAGGTTCTTCTCCACTCGTATTTGCTCACGCATGTCCATTAGAAAATTCACGCTTTTTATGCAGGTGATAGCTACATATAAGGACATGATGGTCCATTGGAGTTCCCCAATGTCATCTTAATCCAGCATAACATGCCCATTAGGTTCGCTTTAGGATCTATAATATATAGTCGTAGGTCCTCTCCAATGAGGATTGTTGTACCTCCTCTTGTGTCCTATGCTGGTATCCATGATTGTTGCCTCGACCACCAAGTAGGTGATTCTTTAAATTTTTATTCGCTCAACTTGGTTTTATGAATGCACAAAATTTTGACTTTGTTATCCCACATCCATAACTTCAGTCTTCTTTTTTTATTATGGTTCCATGCGTCTTTCAAATCTTAAGCATTCCATGTGGCAATGATAAGTTTATTTAACATTTACCTTACTCGTTCTAGTTGCCTGTTGGATCCAACCGCTTTCTTTCATGAACCTTACTATTTGTTTCATGCGCTATGAGGTATTCTCTGATTAAACCCATGTGACTTTGAGGTTGTTTGCCCGTTTGGAGAACAAGATCAAGTGTTTGTTGGTTGAACTCGCAAGGTATTATGCTCGAACTGCCGCCAAACTTCACCATAGACCTTAACCAATGACAAAGAGGCACAAGTTGGATCCTCTATCTTTTGAACTGGTGTGACAACTATGTTAAGTGATTTCAGTTTTTTTCGATATAATAACCTACTGTCTTTAAACATGAAGTAAATTGTCACTTTCCATCCGATCGGGGGCGTAGTTGGGTGTCGCGTGAACTTGTAGTTTGACATAATTTGTAGGTTGAACTTGTATTGGACTCAATTTCTTGCCATAGCCGAAGTTGTTTCAGTTGGCGTATTTGTAACCTCTACAAAGGGCAATGTAGGCTCGTTATTCTTATTTTTAAAAATTCATGAACATAGGCCCTTGTGAGGTTATGATACAAATGATTGGAACCATTACTTTGGTTAACTCTTCCCCTTTCTATTGTGTATAAACTGGAGGGGTACTACTTGGACTGTACTCGTTTTTCGTTTTTTCCCTAGTGGTCACTCCGCGCCCTTTGCTTGTAGGATGATTTTCTTGTCAACTTCCGATCCCTCCGAGGAGTTATACGATCCTTGACCTGAGCACAATCTAACTTTTGTTTTTTTCGATTAACGTTTGCTACAGTGAGTGAATCATTCATCACAACATTAATTGGCAATTTCGTTAGGTCTTCATCATTAATGTCGAATGTGTTCTTTTGACCTGCAGGCCATTGGATCGTGGAGTTTGTTCGCAACCCTAAGGCTGCGATATAGTAGGCTTCAACGTTTGTGTCAAGGTGACATATTTTCAGCGGGGGACCAGTGCACAAATGAGTTATAAGGGGGTGAAAGTTGTTTGGGGATCGGTCTACGGTGTTTTTACGGACTACCTATAACTATTGTGCGTAGAACCGGTGAGGTAGCAAAGTTGGAGGAATGATCCTCCCTTGCATGTGAACTACAAAAGAGACCAAAGAAAAAAACCGTTTGCCAATGCCCCCAGACCCAGACATTGAGGCAGGGTCTGGTACGGACGCACATGAACGTTGCTTTCCACTAGGCCCCTACACAGAAAGGGTACCGGCGAGTCCAGTCCCACAATTTGCAAGGGACAACTTTAATGATTTTTTGTACTCATAAGCATTCGCAAAAAAAACTGAAAATTTTAAAATTCATAGATTACGTCTTGATTTTTCAGGAATAATATCATAGAAATAAAAACAAATCATTGAGACCGCAAAATAATCGCTGCGCTGATTCGATGGATTTTCCCTTTTTGCCACTCAGCCATGTGCGGGCCAACAAAAAAATACTCAAACTTCAATTATTTTTCAAGCTCAAAAGAATGCGTGAAAAAATATGAAAATTAGAGTACTTGCAAATTTTACTATGATTAAATTAAAAAAAAAATCATTTCCACCTATAAATAAATCGCGGTGGTAATTTGATAATTTTTCTATTTTTGCCATTTAGCCTCTCTCTCTCTCTCTCTCTTCCCCCCCCCCCCCCCCCCCCCCCCCCCCCCCCCCCCCCCTCTCTCTCTCTCTCTCACACACACACACACACACACACGCGCGCGCATAGCCCCATTGCTTTCGCTCATCTGGCCAGGCTCACAATTCGTAACCCTAAGGCTGTGATATAGTGGGTTCGAACATCTGTGTTTTCGAGCACAAAGGTTGCACCGGAAGGCAACACATCAGCCTCTCTCTTTGTCTCTCTCTCTCTCTCTCCCTTTTTTTTTTTTTTTTTTTTTTTTGCAAGAAAGCTTATATATTCCCAATCAGAGAAAGAGGCGGCAGTCCTCACAGTCTACCTGGAAATGGAACGATTGCGAGCAATACCCAATTTCGCTTACAAGGAAAACAATTCCCTAGAGGGGACCAACCACCTTAGATATATCCATCACCAACAGTGGTTCCCAGGCCCGGCAAGCCAGGTCCGAGGTCTGTGCAGTGGAACATAAGTTCCAGTCAGTGAGAATGTCACTCTTTCTATACCCCACAGACCCTCATTTTGCTGCCCTCTTACCACTAAGAAAAAACGATCGTCCAGGTCTCTCTCTCTCTCTCTCTCTCTCTCTCTCTCTCTCTCTCTCTCTCTCTCTCTCTCTCTCTCTCTCNCCCCCCCCCCCTCTCTCTTTCCTTCTCGAAGAAAAACAAAGAAATGTAATCTGTTAGGGCTGCGTTCCCTGCGCCCACGCGATAGGCAATTTATTCCAAGGGTTAGGAAGGGTGAGCCTGGTGTCGACGGGGAGGGATAGTGAAAACCAGAATCTCCCCCCCCCCCCACCTATACTCCAGAGAGGCTTGTGTATGATTTCTTCTCAGTTACCACCACTCCTGATGATTTCTTCTCAGTTACCACCACTCCTGAACCCCCTCGTTTCGCCGGGCCGCCCTTGGTGAGCGTCCCCTTCAGATCCCCGACACCTGCGGGTATTCCGGTTCTCGCTCCTCCCCCAGCTGCTTCCCTTTTACCTGCCACACCTTCTGCCCCCCTTTGCCCTTCTGGACCCATCGATCCCCCGGTAGCTGGGGGTCCTCCTGTGGGGCCAGTCCCTCCCCGAGGTACCGCTGGTCCACCTCCCCCTGCCGGTCACCCAGTTCCCACTGGTCCCGCCATCCCGTCTGGTTTGATCTCACTCATCTAGTTCGCTTGGATTCGACAGTTCGCGGAGTGCGTACCAACTGAAAGCATACTCACACTGGGACTTCTTTACCTTCCCTGTGGTCGCATAAGCGGTTAGGTGCATCTCAGCCAGGTCGAAAAAGCGACCAGTGGTGTGAGTATGCCCTCAGCCAGGCCCGTTGGCTTTCTTTGCTAGCGCTGTCGTTCGTTCTCCTGTTGTGCTGGGGGTTGGGAGGGCTGTCTGGATTCGAATCTTTCCCTGTAGGACAAGCACGATTCAGCGTGCAGGTAGGTACACCTTGCAGATTTCTGCCGGGCCCAAGACGCACCGTTGTTCACGACCCCGCGTCAACTGCCGATGAACGAGGGGAGTGCGTCGTAATCAGCGACGCTGTGGTAACTGCTGGCGGACTGTTTTCCCCGGTCAATCAAATAAAGCACATCGATTCGTTGGATGGTCGATCGGCCAAGGGTTCGTCTCTTCTGTGAGCGAGAAGAGCGGGTGCCATATCATCATTTGATCTGGCATCATATCTTTCCTCGGCGACCTTACTTTCCGACATAAGTGCGCGAGAGCGCGTAGTGCCATCGGGGGAACGAATTGACGGGTGTCCTCAAACGCACTTTCTGTTGAGGAGCTCGCTGGCTTGGGTTCCCCGGTTTGCCCACCTCCAATCTCGCCCAGCTCCGATCCCACAACCTTCCCACCGCTCTCGCCCTCTTCGATGTGGCGTGGTGGAGAACGAACTCGCACACACACGCAGAAGACACCTTTTGTCTTCACCTTTTGGGGTGATAATGCTCAGTGGCATGTCGATAGAGAACACAACAAGACGCTCCCGTTTCCGGACTGTCGTTGCCCTAATACACGCATGCACGTACGCACGCCCTTCTCTCCGTGTGTGATTTCTCCCAACCGGAGGCTGTTCGCCAATTACTCAACTGCATTGTGGACTCGTTGGGCCGCCCGACTCCCGTGAGTAATTGTGTGAGGCTGCTGTGAACCGTCGACCTGCTCACTTCGGCACACTTATAGCGGTATATTATGCGGAAGTGGGGACGAAAACTCCCCTGCCCTGGAGGTTGTCTGCCATCCGCTCCTGGGCAGGTCTCCCCATAGCATAGCATAATATTTCCTTGCGGACTCACACACCCTGCATCCGAGACGGCGCATGCAAAAGGAATTATATTTCACTGTGGTTTGGAAAAAGAATTAAATAGAGTGTGACGTGTCTTGTGCATACGACACGTGGCGTCCACCGTCGCTCTCTCGAAGCCGTCGCGGTTCTGTTTTCCCGCCTAACGTGGCTGAAATTTCTTCCCTCCAAAGAATGGGCATATATATGAAACGCTCAAGTTTTCAACTCGCGCGCGCAATCGAGTAGTCGTTCTCTCGCGCTCTGTGCTCAATTTCCCGCCGACCGACACCCCGCGCGTCACGCGCGCACGCAGCCACGCGCTCGCGCACAGTCAATTTCGCGCGCATTTTTCTCTTCGCTCGTCCTTGTCAGGGTTCGCATCCATGTTGGGACGGCGTATCACGTCCTGACAGAGGAGGGGCAGGGGGGCGCGGGGCGAAGGGGAGAGGGGAGGATTTCGGACAGCGCCGCTTGCTCCGGGTATCGACCCGGCGGGAGACGACGGGCAACCGCGGCTCCGCAGTTGAGAGCGTATTTTGACTTGGCGGGCTTGGCGGGGTGTGTTATTCGGACTCTGCTGCGGCGGTGATTTGCTTGTGTTTTTTGACACGCGGTCGCTCTCCCAGATCGCTGGGTATTTGTAGCGCCGCCTCGTTGAGCCTATTGGTCGGTCGGTCGGTCGGTCGCCGTTAACAATGCCTGTCACTCTGATTCCCGCGCCGTCAGCGTCGTCATCGTATCGTGATCGGACGGCGGAGCTGTTTTCATTGGCAGAGCGTCTGAAGAAGACACAAGGGGGGCTGGGAGATGCGGGGACCAGTGCGGCGCCACCCGTGGTTTCCCAGAATGGAGCACTGCGCGAAGATGGAGGAGGGTTGCCCATGGGCGGGACGAGGACAACAGCAAGCGCTCCACTTCTTCCTGCAGGAGGGCAAACAGAATTTGCGCGGAAAGCGTCGCAAATCGGTGTGTCAATTCATCAGACTTCACAGAAACTTGCGAAGCTAGCAAAGCGTAAGTGCCCTTTCTCTCGCTCTCTCCTATGGCAGGCCCGCCTATCTCTGGATCACCAGCCGGCTTTTCGTCAGCCACTACCTCCCCACTCATCCTCTCTCTCTCTCTCTCTCTTTTGTCAGACTTGATCTACGTAGGTCTCCCTCTGCCTCTCCCTCCACCTCCCTCTTCCTCTTTCTCCTGCCTGTTCCTTGTGGGATTTCCCCCCTCCTCCCCTCCCCTGCTTATCTGGCTTCATTTCGGCCTTCATTTTCCTCCCCTTCACCTTCTTCAATTGTAGAATTTCACTCATCTGTTCCCAGTGGAGTTCATAATCGGGCCTGTATTTCAACAGTTGTGGGGTGTACCAAGTGAGCTAGTCGAGTTGCCCTTCTTTTTCCGTCTCTTTGAGTCTCCTCTCTCTCCATTGGTCCTCGTTCTCGAATCCCAGGTTCCCTCTATCCCCTTTCCCCCCCCCCCCTCCCCCCCCCTCCTCTCTCCTTTCTTCCATGTTCTTCCTCTCGTCCTTCATCCCGTGCTTCTTCACCTTCCCCTTCCCCTTCTTTGTCCTGCTAGTAGTATCGTCACCTCATTCTGTTCCGTTAGTAGTATCGTCACTTATTCTGTTCCGTTACGTTTCTCGTTATCGCTTTCTTTGATATTCCTTGTCCTCCCTCATTTCCATGTTCTTGTCCTTACACATTCACCCTCTTAACTTTTATTCTCCATCCTTTACGCCCTCTTTTTCTTTCTGCTACCTATCTCCCTCTTTTCCCACCTTCCCCAGGTCCTTCTCCGTCTCTTTTGCTTTTCGTTCATCTAGGCTCTGAACGACAAGCACATAGTTGAGACTGAGCAAATGAACCAGAGCATCCCATTTTTCCTTCGTCTGTTACAGCAGAAGGAACGTTTATCTCCCCACCTGTTTTTCTCCTTCCCCCCCCTCCCCTCCTCCTTCCCCCCTCCTCCCCCCCCGCCCCCCCCTTGCTGCTTCCCCTTCACTCCGTGCTACGAGTATTCCTCCTCCTCTTATATATTTGCCCTTGTGGTGTTTGCTGCATATCCTTCCTAAGGACGGATTCTGAGCAAGGGGCGTTCTCAGTGAGAGGAGGAAAAAAGATGTCATGCATTACTCGCGAGCCCTAGGATGTACTCAATTCTTTATTTTTAGAGTACTACTATTCCCTGCCCGAGGATCCCATGTCGTCCTTATTCTGACAAGGACGTTCTCGATTTACTTTTTCTTTTGGAGGTCTTTTTTTTTTTTTTTTTTTTTTTTNTTTTTTTTTTTTTTTTTTTTTTTTTTTTTTTTTTTGGAGGTCAATTTCCGTTCTCTCGAATCTGTCGTTGAGATGATTCCTTTTAGCAGCTCGATTTCATACTGCTGTTATACACCACTTCAGTGCCTTTTTTTGTGTTCTCTGAAGTTGATCTCAGTTTCTTCGCCATTTGCATGTCCCTTTCCCAACGAATTCTCTTTTTTTCTTCCTTCGTGTCATCTTTTCTTTCCCATCGGCAGCGCAATCATCGTCAAAAAACGTTTCGTTCTCACCTCTGGCACCTCTGGTGGTCATTATCGTTCTGCCATGCTCCTACCGTCTTCCCCCGAACATAACGAACCCTGAAGTTGAACGTATGCAAGCTATATTTACGGTCCGGTACAGCCAAGATGAGGGTGCGTTGTGTTCGGGGGAAGACGATAGCCCTTTCCCAGACACTCCCTGGTCTTCTCTCTCTCCATGCCATCTACGTACGTCGTGTGTATCGCCCACTATCTAGGGCCTTTTCATTCGCTGATTCTCTGAATGTCCTCTCTGTTCTATTTATTTTTCTGTGCAAGGAGTCTTGATTCTGTACTTTTTTAAAGACTTCTCGTTCTTGACTTTGACTTTTTTTTTACTGTCCGTGTTTTTTTTTTAATTTTCTTTTCCCCTGTTTGTTCTTTGTTGTTTGTTCGTTTATATCGCGGCGGGGTTCTCTGAATCTCGTCTTTGTTCTGCTCGTCTGCTTTGACGAGTTCTCATTCTCTAGATTCTCTAGTCTTCCGGACTTCACAGTCTGTTTTTTGCTCATTTTACTGTTTGCTCGTTTGCCCTCCACTGTTTTCTTGTCGTATCGGCGTATTGTCCCCTCCCTCCCTCCTCCCCCTTCCCCCCCGCCCTCTTCCTCAAGCACTTCGTCACAAGTCTTCCGAGTCTCATCTTTGTTTTAGTGTCGCCTTGTAATACAGTATATTCCCCATCGTCCTGAGGAGTTGTGTTTTTTTTTTTTTTTTTTTTTTTTTTCAGAGGAGTTTTCGGTACCCCCGAGGTGTGTTGTATTCTGTCGAAAGGTCGTTATATTCCTCTCGTTGTGTCTGCCACCTTGTGCGTTTTTTTTTTTCCGCTTCCTCTCGAGATCATTTTCGTTCTGTTGCCGACTCTTTCCCGCCTTCTCGAGGAAGTTGTTCCTCTGTTCCTCTCACGGTGTTCTTTGAACTAAGTATTAGTATTATGGGCCTCGCTCCACTACTCTCTCCACGACATGCACAAAAGACAAATTTCATGGCGGTGTATCTCTTTCCATGTTCTAGCGCAGGATTCACTCTCCTTCTGCGCATTTCGATAGTAGTGGAGCGAGACCCTATGTTCTCTCGAATGCCCGTTACTCCTCATGGTCTTTGGCAATGGCGTATTGCCATGCCCCCTCTCAGGGACTTTTTTTTTCAATGCTTTTTTTTTTTGTTTTTTTTTGTTTTTTTTGGAGGGCCACAGTCCTTGAGATGATATCGTTATCTTCGACCTGGCCGGTCCTCTGTAATTCAGAATTCTAGTGTTTTTTTTTACTCGTCTGCTTCCTGTGGAGTTGGAACTCAGATTTTTTTTTTTTTATCGCTTCGATATGTCAGGGGTGTGTATCAACTGAGCTAAGCCAGTAGATTTTCAAGGACCTTTTCATTTTCTCTCAAGGTCCTTTTTTTGTCCGGGGCTTACTCTTCTTTTTTTTTTTTTTTAACACTTACTATCGTCTCAAGGAGGGGACTTTTTACTATTCTCTCAATTTCTCTGATGGTGGCTTGTATGCTCCCCCAAGGACATTCAGTACTGCTCCCCCCGAAAGGGTCAGTCCTGCTCTCAGCTGAAAGACGTCTTCTGTCTCTGAAGTTTGCTCTTCAGCCGAGTACTCAGTCCTACTCGCGGAAGGACTTGTTCGTTCGGTGAAGTTTATGGGCGAATTTTCTTTTTTTTCCGATGGTCAGTGAAGGCTTGTTTTGTTAGGGAAAAAAATCCTCTCACGCACTCTCCCTCCTGTTTCCTCAAGGATATGAGTCAGTCTCTCACGGATTTGTGCCAGGGTGTCTCGTTATTTTCGCGGTTGATGACATTCTCTGTTTTTTTTTTCTTTTTCTTTAGTCAATGACATTCTTTCTCTCTGGCAAGGAATGTTCTCTGTTCTTTCTAGGTGGGTTCCATTCCACAGAGGAAATTCTCTGGCTGACGAGTAAGGCGAGTAAGGCGTATTCACATTAGCAACTTCGTCGCCAGCCAGAATCTGGTCCTTTCGCCGGCCAGTTTCATCCTGAAAGTCCTTGAATGTGAGAGTGGGAGGGATCCTGAATCTCAAGGGGATGTCCCAATCCTCTTCCGTTTGAGGACTTCTCTCGTCCAGGGGTAATCGACTACTACGAGGGGAAAAAGAAAGGGTCATGATGAAGAGATAGACGAAAATTTGACAATTGGAGGGAGGATATGATGAAGACACTTGCAAGTAATGAACGGATGGGGGTGCGGTTTTGACTCCCCGCTTTTCCTTGCTGTTTGTCTGTTCGTTCTTTCCCCCTTTTTCCCCTTCTTCCCGCTTTTCCAGTGCTGTTCTTTTATGTCGTCCTTTCCTTTTTTTCCCTCTTTTCTCTATTTTGTCTACTAGCCATTGCAGCAAAGAAAGACTCCCAGGAATTAGCAGCAGCAGCACATTGAAGCCACCAGCTTCAATGTCACAAACGAACCGTTGCGAGCTGTGGGTTGTACTCTACATCTGCCGTCTGCTGCCTGCTTCTTCTGGTCGATGTTTTCCCCAAACGAACCGTTGCCAGCTGTGTGGGATGTACTCTACGTGCCGTCTGCTGGTGCTGCTGCTGCTTCTGCTGCGTAATGTTTTCTCCAAAATATTTTCATTCGACAGATACTTGCTAATGATTCATCAAAAAGGTTCTCAGTTTCTTCAAATTGGACTAGATTCTCTGCCTTTCTGTTTTTCTGCTTATGAGAGAGAGGAGGATGCTGCTGCCAAGAGGAAGAACGTGGTCCTTTCGGTTTTCTCGAATAAGGGCATACTCACACTAGGACAGTTGTACTTATTTATGGACGTGATTGCGGTCAGATGCATCCAGGTCCGCCCGTAAAAGAGGTCCGATACATTTAAGGTAAAGCTAGTGTGAAAGTTAGTGTGAAAGCTAGTGTGCGTGGGAGACTTGGCCACTCTCCACTCATCGGTCCTGGCATGCATCGCTTTGGCCAATGAGAAGGGGAGAGGACTACTGTAGGCATATGCATATGCGCAACAGGGGCTTCGCGAGAAAAGATTACAGTACGCACGCCCTTAGCGAAGATCCTACTTGAGATAGATAGATAGACCGGCTGTCAAAGTGGACCAATGTAGTCATGACCCTTCTTTTTCCTTCTGATCATTGTGGTTTGTATCTGATCATAGGGACTGTCGAATTGATCTTTTGAATTTTGAAGGAAAAAAATGCAGCGGCGCACGCGAAACCAATTTTCCACGTTTTCGTCCGCTACCCTTCTTCCCCCGAATACAACGTACGGTCATTGTAGCTGTATTTGGGGTGTCTTTCAGTCTATATACAGTTATAATGACCGTATGTTGTATTCGGGGGAAGAAGGTAGTAGCGCGCGGTCGAAATTCAAATTCGAGTACGCGGTAGTACTACCTACTATCACTACCATTTCAAATGGGTTCGCTGCGGGCATCGCTACAGTCTTCCCCCGAATACAACGCACGGTCATTATAGCTGAATTTGGTGTATCTTTCGGTCTAGATTCAGCTATAATGACCGTACGTTGTATTCGGGGGAAGACTGTAGCTACCTCGATATCTTAGGCAGTGCCCCCTACGGTGGGTAGTAGGGAGTAGCGTCGCAGGACCTGCCGTTAGGAGGGGAATTCCCTCGCAGACGACTCAGTGCTCATACACCGGTAACACCGCGGGCAGGACCGTGCGTGGGAAGTGCCGCCTACCGGTTAAATACGTAATACAGGGCAGAGGACATGTGGTAGGTAGGCGAGGATCGCTGCCGCGCTGATGATGGCATCGTTCAACTTTTTTTTTTTTTTTTGGTTGTCAGTTGCGTTCTGATCATTTTTCTTGTTTTAATTATATTTGTTGAATGCAGATTCTGCAAAGGAAGAAAGTTCCAGCTGTGCCAACATATTTATACCCGTTCTCACCCCCCAGCTGCTTTTTTTTTTTTTTTTTTTTTTTNTTTTTTTTTTTTTTTTTTTTTTTTTTTCAGCTGCGTTCTGATCCTTTTTTTTTTAGTTTCAATTGCGTTTGCTGGAGCCTTTTTTTTTTTTGTTTCAATTGCATTTTGCTGGAGGCAGATGTGCGAAGGAAGAGAATGCCAGCTCTGGCCTGAGTTCTTGGCCTAACTTAACGGCATTACCCCGGGCTTGGCTGCTGGCAATGTCAAACCAGTTCCCCCCCCCCCCCTCCTCCGAGTTGGAATTTGCCTCCCCACAGCTGCTTTTTCTTTTTCTTGTTTCAACTGCGCTCTGATCCTGATTTTTTTAAATTTAAATTGCATTGCCGGAGGCAGATTCGCAAACGAAGAAAATGCCTGCTCTGCCATAAGTTCTTGGCCTATTTCCCTGAAAAAAAAAAAAAAAAAAAAGTTCTTGGCCCAACTTAACTGCATTACCCCTGGCTTGGCGGCTGACAATGTAAGCCAAATTTCCCCCGGCGAGTCCACTCTCTCCCCACCCCCGCCCCCCTTTTCCCTACTTTGTGGGGACTTCATGGGGCCAGTATGCATGTTAATCTGGTATTATATATGGTTATGATTATTGTGTTCATTATATTCATTGATTTTTCTACTGTGAATATTCCTCCGAATTCTCGGGATTGATTTTGGAATTGCACAGGAGCCAATTACTGAGACGGCTATATGATGGATGGACTCCGTCTTGCCTTTTCGGGCCAGCTACGCTCTACACGAGCGACTGCCTATCTCTTTACTTGAATTGGGTGGGTAATCTTCTGCTGAAGGCATCCTACCTAATAATAGACCAGAGACCACGAAGCCGAGGGCGTAATTACCTCGCAGATATTTCGTGGATTGCGTGTATCTGGTCAAAAAAGTCCGGGTGTACCCTAATTGGAGGTGATCGTGTTACTAACGAGCACAACAGGTAAAGAGAAAAATGGCCCCTACGATGACATGAAAGCCATGAAAACCAGTAGTTAAAATGATGATGCTCCCCATCAATAGATGGAGCCTCTTCAAAGGTGCTAGTTAAAAAAAATAATTAATAAGTTTTAAAAATTGAAAAAGAAAATGAATGTAGAGCCATATATCCCATCAGAAATTGTAAAAGCAGCGTCCACATATTCCATTTGAAGCTAAAGCTTCTACTTTGTCACAAACATCATAGGGTGCTGGTTTTTGCAAACCCCAGGGAACCCCTGAACCTTTTAACAGTACACCACTCACACCTTATTCTTCGCAAATATATGTGTTTCAGTAAAGGACGTTATCGTAGTGCATACTAGATTATCGACGTTTAGTGGAATATGTCAACGAGACCCGTTTAATCGTTGTGTTATTTTGTTGTCCTTTCGCTCATCGCGTTTTTTATTCTTCCCCTGTCTTCTCCCCTTATTTCCCGCTCCTCTTTTCGTGTCCTCTTCTCTTCTTCTTCCTTCTCTTTCGTTCTCGCTTTCCTTCACTTCCCCTTCCCCCTTGTTTGCCGCTCCTCTTGTCCTCCTCTTCTGCCATCACCTCTTCCACTTCCCCCCTCCCCCTTCCCCCTGGTTCCATCTCCCCTCGCTTCTTCTGCCAGCGCAGCTCTTTCACCTCTCCCACGTACCCCTGGTTCCCTCTCGCCCCGCCTCTTCTGTCAGCACCTCTTCCCCTTCCCCCTTCCCCCTTCCCCCTGGTTCCCTCTTCCCCCCCCCGTCTCTGCCGCCCGCACCTTTTCAGCTTCCCCCCTACCGCCTTAGTTTGCACATCCTCTCGTCTGATATTATCTTGTCTCTTCTGTAGCCCTTCTGTTTGTCTCGCCGTTGTCATCTCTTCGCAGCGCATCTCTCCGTCTCTGTCATTTTGATCTCATTCATTATTTTCACCTTCTTGCACCCCCTTCTGCGCCTTCACTGTCTTCTTCCGCTTCTTCTCTCTCTATGATCACCTCTACCATCTTCCCTCGTCTCTTCTCCTCTCCCCTCACGACTTCGTCCCTTATTTCGTCTCTCTCCATTATTCCTTCTGTCCGCAATTCTTTGAAGTCCTCACCCGCCTGTTTACCTCTCCTGTTTTCCTCTCTTCTCTCGGCCTCTCACGTCTCTTCGTTCGTCTCTCTTTTTCGCAGCCCTTCTGCTTGTTCATATTCAACCTCTCCCCGTTGTTTGTCACTTTCGTGTCTTTTCTCATTCATGACCTACATCCTCTATGCTTTTTTCCTTTTTGGCAGTTTTCTACCTCTCCTCATGGACGCTCATCTCTCTTCATTGTCTCACCTTCTCTCGCGTCTTCTCATCCTCGTACTCTTCCTGGTCGTTCCATTACACCTTCTGCTGTGTCCCTTGTTTCCACACTTCATAACTCGTTCATCATATCCCCTCGTCTTTGCGCTAGTTTGCCCGCTCCCTCTTCTCTTTCCTTTTGTCTTGTCTCCTTCTTCCTCTCTTTTCCCTCTCTTCTCCCTTTCTTCTCCCTTTCTTCTCCCGTTCTTCTCCCGTTCTTCTCCCTTTCGTGTCCCTCCTCTTTTCCCTGTTCTCGCGCTCTCCTACTCCTCCCCTCCCTCCTCCCTCCCTTCCCTCCCTTCCCTCCTCCCTCTTCTCGCTCTCTCTTCTCCCTCTCTTCGCCCGTTCGGTCTTGCCTGCCGCCCTCTCTTCCCTCCTCNCCTTCCTCCCTTCCCTCCCTTCCCTCCTCCCTCTTCTCGCTCTCTCTTCTCCCTCTCTTCGCCCGTTCGGTCTTGCCTGCCGCCCTCTCTTCCCTTCTCTTTTTGTTCTGGCCCAGTTTGCCTTCTCACACTCTTTTCTCCTCCTCGACTTCCGTCGAGCGCCGATCGTATCTTCTCGTTTCTGTTTTTTTTTTTGTTTTTTTTGTTTTTCTGTTGTTGTCTTTTCCCTTTTATCTTCTCGTCAAGTTCTCTCCTTTAAGTCGTGATATACTAACGTCCGGCCTCCTTGCGGTCCTTAAGTCTGCCTCTTGTGCACCTTTTCGCCCTTTGCTGCACTTCTCACCAAATGTGTAAGGGGGGGAGTGCATCTTCGATCTGAAGATGGAAAATCTACGCGCCATTTTTTTTCCTTTCTCACTATTTCGTCGAGTGGTGGGGCGAGGCCCTTGCTCTTCCATGTGCTTTCCTTGGACAACACGGTCAGTTCCATTCCGTGTTGATCGTTTCTGTCCTCCCACACGTGTCAGCATGTTGCCCCACGTCTTCTCCATTCTTGTTTCAGTTTGGCCAGACAGAGGTCGAGGCCAGACAGGTTGTTCTCTTCAGTTGTCTCTACTTTTTCTTAGTTTCGTTCAGGCTTTGTTCATTTCCCCCCGCGGAAGTCGTACTCACGTAAACACACCTCCGTCCTAATGGTTCCAAACGTGGGGTCAGGTGGGTTACCATGCCAGGATTCACTTCATCCGAATGCTTGTTTTCTTGGTGAGCTTTGCGTGTACTTTTCGTGATTGCTTCGTTTTGTTTTGTTCTTGCTCGTATTGTCAACGCAGCTTTGGTATGTGTTTCTGCCTTCTCGCTACTCGTCTATGTGCGTCCTGTCTTCTTTCAATTGCTGTCACGTTATGCTTTTGGATATATCCTCCGAACGCCTGCGTCATCCTGGTTCATTCATTCCCTGGGTGCGGTGTTCGCTTCATTTTCTTCTCTTATCCTCTGCATCCGTATCCCATCTCCTTGTCTAACATCTCCTCTCCTCTCCATGTGTATTCCATCTCCTTGTCGAAGTTGATGTATCGCGCCTGATTGTGGACCTCGCCGTGCCACTTGCCAATCGTGCAAAATGAGAATGTATCTCCCCATAGACGCCGAAAGAAGCATCGAAAGAAGCATTGAAAGAAGCATCACCCGTTTGTTGAGTGGTACGGCGAGGATGTATAATTTCCTTCAGTGAACTTTTGCACCCGGGGGTGGACCTTGAAAATTGGCAATCACTACTCTATCGTCATTCTTCAGGCATGCTTTTGTTCTCACTTGCGCTTTGCTTTCCTACTTCTCAGGATCTGTAGAAGGGCCCTATCTAGCAATGAGGAGATGATTAGCTGATTGTAGTTCCTCAGTTGGATGATACGCATTTGGCTGTGTTTCCTGTATGAATTCAGTTGCAAAGAGAACATCCATGTTCGATGATCCTGCTGTGGAGATTCAGGAGCTCACTGCAGTCATTAAGCAGGACATTACAGCCTTGAACACGGCTATAGCAAACCTTCAGGAACTTTCGTCGTCGCGTGAATCGGGCACTGGCCAGAACAGGCACACGTCTGAACACTCTGCAACCGTGGTTGACAACTTGAAGAGTCGCTTGATGAGCACGACCAAGGAGTTCAAAGATGTACTCACCATGAGAACAGAGGTACGTCTTTGCCCACATTGAAAATTGTATGTGCTTTTACTGATTCGCTGTGTCCAGTTCTCAGTGCTAGTTGCAATCAGGCCGTGAGCAGAGTGTGTGTGTGTGTGTGTGTGTGTGTGTGTGTGTGTGTGTGTGTGTGTGTGTGTGCACGTGCGTGTATGTGTATGCTTGTGTTTGTGTGTGTGTGCGTTGTCGTGTTTGCTGCACAACTCCACAAAAAAGCATGACTGTCCCAGACTGTTGTGTGTGTGTGTGTGTGTGTGTGTGTGTGTGTGTGTGTGTGTGTGTGTGCGGGCGTGCAGGTGTTTGGATGCATTGCGTAGAATAGAAGCATAATGCGCTAGTTACATATTCTAGAAAGGCATGAAGATATCAGCTAGTAGTCGGAATGACAAGTCGCACGAATGTGCGTTAAGCTGCATTTAGCTGCGTGAAGTTACATATTCTTGAAAGGCCCGACAATGTCAGTAGGTTGTTGGAATGTGCGTTAATCAGCATTTAGCCACATGAGACCAAAACCGGCGAGGAGTTTAAAACAGGGATTGCTTGTCCAGGGTGCCTCTGTCAAACCTACAAATATATCCAGCGAGGAAGAGAATATCTTGTCCGTTTGCTGCCTGGAAGACTTACCCCTTGGAGGCTACTCAGACTAGGTCTTCCGTCGTCTGAATCTGATGTTAATCCCGCCCAGATACATTCAGTGAACTGTGAGCATGCCAGTGGTAGAGTCTTTGAACTCTCGGTGGCTAGGCTATACGAGGATTATGTCTGGCTATACCAGGACTATGTAAGTGCAGCTCCTCAGTTGTCGTGGTTGGGGCTGCCCTCTCTTCAATCATGAAGGCAAATTGTTTTGGAAAGTCTTATGCCCAGAGTGGTCGTGCAGTTCCGATGCAATGGATGATCGGTGCAGTTGCTACCTGTTAGTAGAACAGAGCATCAACATGGGCAAATATCTTTGGTAATGCTCTCTATGGTTAGGGGAATTTGGCAATCACACCTTTTGCAGATTGCTCAAGCTGTGCAGAAAGGAATGCTCTTGGAAAATCCAGGGATTGGAAGAATGTAAGACGTATCCGTCTTAATTGTACCACAAATGATTATGAGTACGCATTTAGTTTCTGTCTACTTTAAATACTGAACAGAGATTTGGTCACTTGCCCAAGATTCGGTCACTTGCCCAAGATTCAGAGAACTCGTGTACCACAGTTAGCAATGGCTCCAAGCTCCCGAAGGGCCTCAGTTCGCAGGTTGAACCAGTCCTTGCAAGTGGTAGAGCCGGCGAATAAAGTGAAAGCAAAAGGTTGTGCACTGTGCTTGCCTTTTGTCCTGTTGCATTGTTTAAACCACCAGTTGACACGAACTTTGCCTTTTGTCCTGTTGCATTGTTTAAACCACCAGTTGACACGAACTTTACTAGTGCTCTAACCGGTATCCTCACTAAGGGCAAACCTATTTATGAACCCCGCTTTTCCACTTATTCACATGGCTTCAGACCGGGACGTAGTGCTCACACGGCCCTTAATGTTATAATGGGTACCTTTCATGGTGCACAATGGTATATTGAAGGATCCCTGGAGGCCGAAGGCCCTGGAGCCGTAAATCAACTCCATACCGTACATTTTCGGTCACATCCACTCTGGGATCCATGGGAGTTGTTCCTTCAGGCTGTGTAGAGTAAAACCTGCTTAGGCTAAGCAGATACCTTGCTGGAGTAATGGGCACATGCTTCTCTGTGCTAATTCGCATGGAATTAGCACAGCCAGGAAATCAAATTCTTGGTGGAAATCATCAAGTTTATAACGTGTTAATAATAGCTCACGCTTTCTTAATGATCTGTGCGCCGCTGTGGCCATTTTGAAAAGGCACATTTGCAGGCTTGTGAGCCTTGGAAGGTAGCTTTGTCAAGTTAGGCTCGTGTGAACTGGTGGCTTAATCATCTTCAGGCCATCAGACTCCCACTGTATGAAGAAGTGTCCTTTGAGGTCTGACGGTTGATGCTAGAGTGAGATGACTAGTGGTGAGTGTGTTACGGACTCATTGTATGCATTGGTTGCCTGGAACAGAACTTGAAGGTGCACCAGAATCGAAGACAGCTATTCTCTGCATCGTCGCTGGCAACAGATGCAGGTCCTTTTGGACGAACTCGAGCTGGAAGCTCAGGCAGCTCAGGGATTGGTGGCGGTGCCACCGCCAGTTTGCCATGGGGAAATGGGGCGTCCACGTCATCTGCAACTCAGCTTTTCTCTAGCACATCTAGGTACGTTTTTCTTTCTCGTGTAATTAGCCTGCCAGATGCACATGGTGAACAGATGGCTGGGGTTGGGGGTGATGCCAACTCGCACAATGCACCAACGGGATCATAACCCTCTTTGAAACCCCATTGTGCTTGTACGTTCAGCAGTGAACCACAAGTCAACTCCTCAATGTTGACAAGACCAATAGCTGACGGGCAGCAAGGGGCTGACGTGCTGGCAAAAGATAGGTGGCACAGCCAGGTATCCGGGTGCCCCTGATTTATTTGGTTCTCTGGCTGGTTAATGCTATGCGGATGGAGCCGGATGAAATACATGCAAGGTTGTAAAATAGGGTATTTTTCGGAAAAAAAATTCTGGAAAAAGTATGTTGCTAGAAAGATTCTGCCACCTGGCCAGCCACCCGGGCGTCATGAGTAAAATTCTTTTCTTGTTTTCTGACGGTGGGGTCGTTCTGCACTGGGCAACACCAGGCCAAATCTGGGCGCTTTTTCGTTGGGGGGGTTATGAGAGGGGGAAGGGGGGGGGTGTTGGGGTGGTGGGCTCTCTCTCTCTCTCTCCCTTGTGTGGACAGAGGAGGTGGCAGTGGAGGTCACGTTGATATTGGCGGAGGGGAGACGAACAGGAAGAGAACGAAGTAGAGAGAGAGAGAGAGAGAGAGAGAGAGAGAGAGAGAGAGAGAGAGAGAGAGAGAGAGAGAGAGAGAGAGAGAAAACGAAGTGGAGCAGAAGAAGGGTAGAAGAACAAAAGGAGAAGGGGAAAAGAAGGAGAAGAAGTCAGGAGATGTAATGACCTGCAAAATCACAGTCTGAGTTTTGCCGCTGGATTGTGTGACTGGCTGAGATTCCCGCATTCTGCTGAGATTGCCGTATACGGTAGAGCTCCTCCTCACCACACCGTTCTGTTACATCCGGGCTGAAGCTTGACAGGGAGCCATCCCAGTGGAGTCTAAACATGTTTACAAAAGCTCCTCCAGGTCTAGTTTCTACTATGTTGCCAATGCTAGGAGGTCCGTCTGATCTTTTTACTGCTACCCAATCTGACTCCAACAGCGTGGGTCCCTTCCTCAACGTGACCACCCATGCTACAGTAGCGGGATCGAGAAGATCAGCTGTTCCAGGCTGCCTTCAAGAGTGTCCTGGTCCCATTCGTCCTGTACTGGCAGCACCCTGTGCTTTACCCAGGTGGCCCAGGGGGAGCTTGAGCTGTTGTAAATGCAACCCTGCTGGTCCGTAATCCTTTTGCTCCCTAGGAGTGGCTGGCGAAGGACTTCGTAGTAACGTGACTTTGAGGGTCGGTCCGGTAGGGGCAACTGGCACCAGCTTTTTATCAAGGTGCTCCAAAATGGGTCTCCCCTGGTCCTGCCTCGCCCCCCCCTCCCGTGCTCATGGAAGTGTCCAAAAGCGGCCCTTTATCCAGGTGAGTGGGTCCGATGTGTCCGGTCCGAGGGGGGCTGATCTGTTCCACGGCCAGCTCCCTTCACGGCAAGTCGTGACTTAGTATCAGCCTTTTGATCCATTGCATGGCGGGGTCTAGGATGCCCAACCCTCCCTGGGATTTTGGTTGGATGAGGGGGTCGCAGGCTACTCTGTTGACGACATTGTGCTTTTCATGGTCCCCTCGCGAGAGGAAAGCTGACAGCTGGCTTTTGATGGCTCTAGTTGCCTCCTTGCCTAAAGCACAGATTGCCGATTTGTATCACAGGGAGGCCAGGATAACGTTATTGATGACCAGGGAACGCCCAAAGAGGGAGGTGTGTTGTTTTTTCCACAGGTTCATTTTCTCCAGGGCTGGTTTGGAGATTCATCCGTGATTAGTGGTGGTTTACCTTGACCCGAGAATGGCACCCCCAATCTGTGCCGCCAATGGCATCCACTTTACCCTGAGCGGTGGGTGGACCCCCTGGGAGTGGATCCGCCAGCGGTGGGTCTTACTCCCCCAACTGAGCACCATATCTGACTCCATGGGCCGCTTGATCTCCTCCATGTTGTTGCTGGTGGCCTCGGCCCTAATCGGGAGGCCATCCGCGGACATGGAGCAAATCGGAATCGCCTCCGCAGGGATGGCGGCGATGTTTAACTTAGTCATGCGCCCTCAGATTGGCAGTCCCACTATTCAGAAAATTGCAGACCAGAAAATGCTATGATATTGGCCTCATAGCTAGCTGCATGTGCCTGCAGATGCAGCCAGGTCAGTGCATCTCCGTTCATCACCGTACTGACAACCATGTTCTCATCCCCTTCTTCAATCCTTCGAATGTATAGGTAAGTTCTCATTGCAGCCTCTTATCCTAACATAATCTCCTTTCTCCCATGGTAATTAAATGGGAGCTTCACCTTTATTCGACTCCGGTATCCGAACTGTCTATCATCTCTACCCGCAGCAGGTCCTTCTCCCCCCACTGTGGCCATCTCCATCTCTTTCTCGTGTCCTCCTCGTCCACCGCGCCCCTTCTTGTTCTGGCAGTCTACAAGAGAGTTAGCAATTCCCAATCTCAACCCCTCAAACTGGTTCCTTGTTTCCATCTCCTGTTACTCGTGCAGTCTCCTGACTTCCTCGTGCAGGGCATCCATACTATCACCGTCATCTAAGACCATATTAATAGCTGTGGCGGCATCCCCCTCTATTTCTTCTGCTGCGATTTTTGCTCAGAGGCTGGCACGCAGGGCCTCATCTTTGTGAACCCCAGCAGAAATCGGATGTGCAGCAAAGGCTGCAGGAAGACACAGAAGGCGACAAACGAACATCAGGTGGTTATCCATGGCTGTCGGTAGCACAACAGTCAGTCGATGGTGCGACCCTTCCATTAACCCTAGCCATGTACACTTTAATGCTGCTAACCTAAAATTCGTTGACTTTGCCCTCAAATCGCCGACTTTATCCATACTTGACACTGTGCCACATTATCGTGAACGCCTGTTCACCAGGCAACAGCAAATTTAAGGACAGGCTGCGAAGTCCTTAGCGTCGTTTTAACATTGCAAACAGGAGGACGATGAGGCTGGGCATGACCAACACTTCAATGCTCATGCTCATCCAGTTCACAACATGCTGGTCAGTTCCGGTCTTAGGGCTACACAAGTTTAACGAGCTCCGGCTGCTCATGCCGATTCAGTTTCTTTACTCGCTTGCCTTCAGGAGGCTGACCCTACCGCTTTCGTATGCAGCCTCTCTGATCGATCTAAGATCTAGGATGACCAGCAGCAAAGTGACCAAGACGAGCCCAGTGGAAATCTGAAACGGAATGGTCAACATGCAAGGCTAGGGTGGAAGGTTGTCGTCTGGATTCGCTGGATGACGAACTTCATGATCGCTTGCTCCTTGTTGCACCTGCCAGGTGAGTTACCTTCCCCCAACCCGACCATTTCTTCTCCGGTCAAACCCTCCCATAAATCTCACACAGAGTCGCACACATACACAGCACATGTGAGATACGAGCCAGAAAATAGCCTCTGCCGATCAACTCTAATACACGAAATTGTCTGCGTACACTCTGGGCAGCTATAACTGCCAGCCAGTCATGTCGCACTCTGTCCCTTGTGTCTCTCTTCTCCTCTCAGGCTCACGTCCTCTCTGAACACCTTGCGGCGTCTCTCTCCCTCCCTTGACCTGGCTACCGCTATGGGCGCCAGGCGCCGTTGACTACTGCCTGCAGCAGTGTACGGCATCTCACCCCAAAATAGTACGACGTCTCATCACAAAATAGTACGATAGCATCTCCGCCTGGGCACACAAATGAATTTGTGACGAGGACGACCAGAATTGGACTTCGGTGTACGCTCCCGGACTTCCTCTACCGGTTATGGGCCGACCCTTCGGCCGATGTTTGTTGCTTCTGGAAGTTCCCTGACTGTGCTGTGACTTTGCTGCTGGCCGGACCAACTGCCAAAAAGTAGCAACTTTCCTAAGCCAACTGGTACCTATGGGAATCTAGCTATTATGATCTATTGACCCATAGGTACTGAGCCTGACATGGGGCATGGGAATATGGTACGTGGGACTAGGTCTGGGGCTGGGAGTGGGACCAGGGTGGACAACTGTGAAACCCTTTCACTGAGGAGAGAGGGAAAGAAGAAGAAGAAGAAGAAGAAGAGGAAGACGAACGAAAGAGGAAGAAGATGTACACCAGCGAAGACCAATGAGAATTCCCTTCTTCTTCACCAACCACTCTCCTCCTCCTTGTCTACTCCCCTCTTATTCAAACAAGAAATAATAATAATAATGTTGAATGGCTGAACCAGAATCAATGTCCTAATCCCTCTTCTACTGCAGGTATCACTTGAGGTCCACCATAGCCATCGCTAGCCTTCTTCCTCCTCCTGCCACGACTGAGGCTATGCCGGACTACCAGGGCACTGCCCTGCTGTGCAAAGGACAACACAAAGCAGCTATGGCTGCTCTCGCTCAGGCCGCCATGCCTGACTCTGCCTCAAAGCTTCTTGGTGTAGCTGTACCCCAACTGGGGCCTTCCAGATGCAGCGCCCACCAAGGTGATGAAGAATGCATCCACCATAGCCAGGTAAGTACCTCTAACGATCAGCCTTCCTTGTCCTGGTCTTCTTCCTCCTCCTGTCCTTGCTCCTCCCGAGCAGTCCTGCTCCAGCCAGCACTCCAACCAGTGCGTCGCCAAACTTGCACACCGACAATGAGGAGCGCCTCGCTCCTCCTGGAGATATAGCGGCCTGCTTGCCTCTTGGCGAGTGACTTACTAGGCTGAGAGGCCTCCAAGCAACCGGTACCTCCTCCCATTTGGAGGGAAACATCATTGCAGACTCTGATATTGCCCGCACAGGCCTTAGACTCAGACTGGTTGGACTGGTACTTGCCGAGACCTAGCCTTCAACTACTGGGCCTCTAAAATGCCAGCTTTGTCTTTTTCTGCTCGGCCTCGAGTACTCGGCACATCTACCCGTACCTGGTGTGGTACCGGTCTACCTGCTGCTCGAGTGTTTTTCCGCTGCTTCGTGTCTCGGGCCTCTTTCCCACCACTTGAGTGTTTTCCCCGCTGCAACCCTCAATGCCACGGTCACAGGCAAGTACGGACCCTTTGGGCCTTCCACACGGATAGGTACCCTCGCGGATCACACACACACTCAAAATGACAAGCACTCAGACAGGCATGCAGACCAGCAAGCACGCACACACTCGAACTTAAAAAAACTCAGCAACAAGGGGGAAACTCAGCAAGGCATGTGTTCCATTGGCAAAACTCAGAAATCAGCTGTGTGTCTCAGTCCGTGTCTGGCAGGTCCTAATACATGTGCAAATCTGTTGAATGGGGGCAAGCCCAATGTGTAGATCTCCTGGCCACGTTGTGTGTTTGCTTTGCTCTACAGGATCGTGCAGGAAGGAGCCTTCAGGGAAGCAGCAAAATGTCAGTGTAGTGGATTGGCATGACCTATATTGGCTTCATGTGCTTGGGCACTAATTGGAGATGCTTCGTGTCCTTTCAAACAGGCGAAGGAGCGGACAAGACTCTCTTCTGCCGACACAAGCACCCTGGGGAGGGGCCTCACATCAACAACAGCAGCAGCAGATGATGGTTCCAGCTCAAGATGGCTACATGGCCAGCAGAGCTGAGGCCTTGCAGAATGTGGAGTCTACGATTGTTGAACTCAGTAGCATATTCCAACAGCTCGCAACTATGGTGGCCGAGCAAGGCGAGATGGCTGTAAGGTATTCATGCGTCGCTTGCACCATTGCTCTTGGATGTGTACTTTTATAAATTGCCTCTTTGCATTTCATCTATTTTGGGAAGGGAAGATTACCATTTTAGCTCTGGCCGTCCGTCCATGCCATTGTGCTGTGGTTCGAATGCTGTCGAAGTCTTTCATGAGGAAAACTGATTCTGCTCTCCCGCGTATGTGGGCTTGCCTGGAGTGAAGCCCAAGGCCGTGCGAGGAGCAGTTGTTCAATTCGTGAAATGTGGGGGCATTGCATCTGTTGCTCAGTATGTTCCAGCTCTTTATTTAGTCTCTTCGGTGATTTTGATTTTTTTTTCTTTTTCTTTTTCAGCTCATGGATCCACTGTTAGTCTGTCCGATGATGATTGTGCTGGAAAGAATCTTGAGAATTGTAACTCTTTTTTCTCAATGTGGGCTTTGTGGAACATGCAGAATCGACGAGAACTTGGAGGACACATTGGCAAATGTGGAAGGAGCCCAGGGAGCGCTGCTGAAATATCTGAGCCGCATATCATCCAACCGATGGCTTGTCATCAAGATATTCTTCGTGCTCATTATATTTCTATTGATTTTTGTTGTTTTTGTAGCCTGATTGTCACCGTGATGAGTCTTTTTGCAGCACAACGGGATGATGGAGAGAAGGGGCCACAGAGATGTGATGGTCTGAGATCTTTTATTTTGCGGTGATACCATACCAACTTCATGGGCATTTTTTGACCGGTGCAGAAGATTGTGCTAAAGATATGCTAGGCCAGCTTTGACTGCATATCAACGTCAGTGTGTGGTATGCTTGCGCTATGTGGCGTGCCAGTATGCAATGCTGAGGTCCATATGCTGTTTGACGGCAGGACCATCTTCACAAATGTGCACGTCCCAGGTTGATGATGCACGTTGGAGGCAAGGCAACTTGCATGCGATATGAATTCCGTTGGAGTATTATGATGGCATTATTCGTGCTCACCACACTTGTCAGTCCAGCATTTGACAGTCCTTTCCAAATCAGTGATTTCCTCTTTCATCTTATGGAGGAAGCTGTGTGTGGTTCTTCGAGCGGTACACCCCATTCAAAGGTGTCTTCTGCTGGCTGCACCCGTTGCACATGGGAAGTTGTTTTCTCTGACTTGCAGGCTCATTCATCAACGATATCAGCATCGACATCTTGGAAGTGCAGTGATGATGGTGACGAAAACCATACCTGCTGTCATTCGGGTGCAATTCACACCTGGCATTCGTAAGAGAGGTGCTGTGTGCCTGCTTGGAGCTCTGGCAGGATGATGGCTGGTTCTCAGGCAACCAATGAGTCACAAAGAGAGACGAGTTTGGGAATTGTGCTAAAGATTCACCGTGAATTCGCTGGTGAAAGCTAGCAAGAAGAGGTGAGGTACTTCGTTGTCGTAGTGACAAGTTCATATGCTGGCCTCTTGCTTGCCAGTTTACCTTATTCTGATTACTAGTAGTCCTGTTTAGTGTACATTCCTTGTGTTTGAGGCCTCTGGAAGTATTTAGATAGAGTACTTTCTGGGGTTTCTGCTTCCTTGCCAGTGCTATTTAGCAAAGTTCCGCGCAATGCAGAGCTTCCTACTTAAGCCCTGCAGAGGGCGTCTGTTTCTCTTTTTTCCCTCGACCACTCCCTCTTTCCAGCTGTCTCACTTTTGCAAGGCCAAGCAAGCTTTCCCAGGAGATGTTGCTTTATCTGCAAAGAGCTGCCAAAATGGCAGAATGCATTTACCCTTATTAGGCGCTTTAGCATCTATAGTTCTCCCTGTTGCTATGCATCAAAATCCTGACTGCTTCTCACCCTGCACATCTGCTGTGCAGCTGGTCTCTTTGCTAAATTTGGACATTCAACTGGTTCGCTTATGTCCCTCTGTGCCTATTCCTGTACTTGCCTGTGCTCTTGATTCCTCTACTTGTGCGTTCTGTAACGACAGGCTTTGTTGCTGTGAGTGCCGACGACAATGCCATTTCAGCCACTTGTGTGGCAGCAAATAGGGGCACACCGTGGAGCTGGTGAAGAATGACCGTTCGTCGGCTGTAGCACTGAGATAGCATGGGCACAAGTTGCTCTGTATATTCCTTACCCTGATTCGGGGAGGTGTGTAGGGGGATGGTTTCAGCGCCGGGTATGTCATTCTTTTTCCTCTCCGAGCGGCCCGATGGCTTCACCTATGTGTTCCTGTGTCTCCTGTATTATGTTTTCATTATGATGAGCTTCGTCTTCTCGGGTACGCCGCTGTTGCATGTTGTTTGAGGCAACAACAAATATGGATTCTGGGAACTCCTGCTAGCGCTGCTGATAATTAATAAACGTTTGAGCACTTTTGCTCAGACTTCGATGAACTGATGCTCTTTGGAAGGTCATTGTAGCACGCATCGCTTCTCCATCTCATGAAGTCCGTGGCAGGGAACGTCCTGGGCCTGGTCGTCACCCCCTGCCCCTGTATTGGAGGAATAATCTGTTCATTGAGTCCAGGTCCTTGACCTGCTCCATGCACGCGTAATGTCGATGAAAATTTCCTTGGTTTTCTTTTCTTTGTTGAGTTTTTTGGTTGTGGAAAGCGCAGTGACTTCTCAAAAGTTAATGGGTGTATGCAAGTTGTCGAGTGATTGTGTTGCCACTGCAGACTCGATGATGGCAATTTGAGGATGAATTTTGGTACCTGCCATTGTGGTGGTTTTTCAACATGGCGAAACTGGCACAACGGAAGGTATGTGGCCTCTATGATGGATTCTATTGTAGACACAGCGGTGATGGTCGTTAGGTAGATCTTGAGGGATATGCAGCTTGTGCTTTTGTAAATGTGGGTGGAAGTAATAACTACCAGGGCGCACTGTACGTGCATGAATGGATGCATGGACGAAGAGATGGGTACACGCCTGATGGATGCATAGACAAAGGGACGAGTTATGTTGCAGATTATGATTGTGAAAGGGGCAGCACAGTGACAGTTTTTGTCTGATTTTTCCGCCAGTGGCCTTGGCCTCTCTGAATCCTGTTTATGGCATGCCATAAGTGTGAAGTGAAATAAGCCCTACTGCCATCATTTCAGGCCCGATTGCTTTGTGGAAAGGCGGTTAGGCGGCAGTCTTCATCAATATTCAGGATCATTGTTTCAGGGCCTCTGCATATCTAATACTTCTATGCTACCTGTATAATTTTTATCAGCCACGGGCTGCGTCAGACCCCGTTATGGCCCTTTTTTCTTCTGTCCGGTCATGGATCCGGCGGCTGAGATTCGCCCTCAGACGCGAAGCTCAGCCGGTCTCTTTGCCGACACCTGGTGGGGTGTCTGGCGGACGAGTGGATAGTTTGCCTGGGCGAGAAATGTGTCAGTGAGTGAAGAGAGCTTCTGCGAATGCCACAAGCGTCAGAGTGTGTCAGGGATTGTGAGAGATTGTCAGGGATCATCAGGACTGGGGAGGGGAGCCACAGTGGATGCTGTGGGTTAATGCAGGTGGTCGTGTGGCCGCTTTGGTTCCGTGAGAAGAAAATGTGTAGAAACGGTCAAATCTCACAAGGAAATGATGTGAATGATTGTCTGTCTGACACTCTCTGACAGCTTCTGAGAACGTTGGTTGCTCTTTGTTGCGTTGTGTTTTTATCGGCGGGGTTGCCTTTGAGTGGTCGCCCGAGCTGTCTTAGTCCCACTGGTTTGGGTCTTTCATATTTGTGTTTATCCTGTGGGGCATGGTGTTTGTTTATTTTTGTGGGGCTGATGCGGATAATTTGTTATTGGTTTGGATGTAATGATCAATGGTGAGAGCTTATTCGAGGGGCGGGGGGAGGGGGTCAGGGATTAGACGTTGCAGTAGACGAGTTGGTGCAAGCTGTAATCGTGGCTGGTCGTCTGGGGGTTTGATCATTGTTGGCCAAAAAAAAAAAAAAAAAAAAAACCTGTGGGCATGCCCGACGTCAGTAGCATTGGTTTGCATTTGTGTTACCAATGGGTGCCTAGTACTGCCTACCATTCGACCTGGGAATCTGACGGCGAGGGTAGGAGGGTGGGAGGGTGTGAGGACGAGAATGAAACATGGGTGAGTGGTTCAACGGCTGGGTTAAACCCCCGGGTACCCATCCAGGCAAAATTTTCCAACTCCCTGAATTCATGGAGCTGCCTGGGCAGGCCTGGTAGAGGCTCGGCATATCTTTGACGTACATCCAGAGAGTGGTCGGTCGAGAAAAACAAATGCCACTGACCAGGATGTGGGAAAGGACAGCAGAAGAGTTGGGGGGGGGACCAAATAATGGTGAAAAAGTTCAAAAAAAAACAAATCCGCCTATGTTTTCCCTTGACTGCTGCTCTTGAGTGCTGCCTGTGGGTCTACGCTGGCCATACTTACGCTAGTTCCCTGAATCTGCCTGCTATTGCAGCCCTGCCCGGACGCATCCGACCACAATCACGTCCGAAGCGCTGCCCTTGAGCGGGGACAAATAATGGTGAAAAAGTTCAAAACAAAACAAATCCGCCTATGTTTTCCATTGCTGCCCTTGACTGCTGCCTGTGGGTCTATGCTGGCCATACTTACACTAGTTCCCTGAATCTGCCTGGTATTGCAAACCTGCCCGGACGCATCTGACCACAATCAAGTCCAAAGCGCTGCCCTTGACTGCTGCCTGTGTGGGTCTACGCTGGCCATACTTACACTAGTTCTCTGAATCTGCCTGCTATTGCAGCCCTGCCCGGATGCATCTGACAACAATCATGTTCTAAGCGTAGTACAGAGAAAAGACAAAGCAACGAACAGTGGAGTGAAAAATGGAAAATATGGTGGATTCTGCCCAGCCTACAGGCCGTCTGACCTTACTCAGGCCATATTTACACTAGCACTTCCCACAAGGTAGGTGGCTGTAATCAGGGCCCGACCTGGACGCATCTAACCTCAATCACGTCCAGAGGGTAGTGCAAACAGAAAAGAAAAGAAGATGAAACAGCTGTCAGTAATCAACAGAAATAATGAAGTACACATGCCAGAAAAATCTGCCTGGTACTGCGAAGACGAAACTGGAGTGATGCAGGCACTGGTCAGCTCCCAGGTAAGTCCCCTGGCCTCCGCCACTCTCCTCCCTTTCAGCACTACCCTAAGGTCCTAGCAGCTCCCAGCACTTCTAGACTACTACTATCCCAAGGTCCTAGCAGCGCCCAGCGCTTTTAGAGTACACCTATCATCACCTACTACCGCTGCAGTATCTCCGGAGAGGCCTAGCAGCACCAAGCGCTTTTAGACTACTATTATCGGCTACAAACCCAAAACAGTGGTTACATGCTTAAGGGCCATCAAAAAAAGGAAACCACTGTTAACATTAAAGAAAATAGCTGCTGCACTTCCTAAAGATGCTGATTTATACAAATTCTGCAAAGGCCTGAAGAAGCTTCCCTCTCAGCGTAATGCAGCGATAATGTGACTACAATCCATGAACATCACAACTTCTGTCTGGCTCAAGGCCAGGGGGCTCCCCATCCTGGAAACATGCATTAGATGTAACTGGGCACGGGAGTCGGCCTCCCACTTCTGGGTGTTTTGTCCCAAGTCCACTGAGATATATATAAATGGTGGAAGGCTAGATGTGGAGGCTCCTGGGAGAAAACAGGGACGACTGGTCAGACAAATTTATCGTACAGTGGCAAGAACTACATCATGTCCACCTGCAGGGGAATTGTCCTAGAGGCCATTTGTGGGGCAAGGAATGATCTCCTCTTCAAGGGGGAAAACCACGTCAGACAACATGTTTGTAACAGAATACTGGCTTCGATACGGATCACAGTAATAGCAGACTGGAGATCCAAGAATTTTATCTGGTTTGGCAAAACTTGGGCTCTCAACGCATCCTTTGTCTCCCTCAGCACAGAAGGGAACATGATTTTGGCCAGCTGGCTGAAGAACACTTGACCCCAGGATGGGTTTTTCTGCTTCCCTTTTTTTTCGTTTGTTTGTTTTGTATTCTTAGTCCAGTTGCTACTTTGTTTCTCAGGATGATACCTTTATGGAACGCTGGACCCAGTTTCCAGTATGTGACGCACAACCTCGTGCCCGGCGCGACTTCCTGACTGGATAGGCCTGGTGCCGCCGACACTTTTCACACGGTCTGCGAGGCCAATAGCGGGCTATGGAATTCCACGGCACCACCTTGAGTTGGTGATATGGAAGGAGGAGGTGGAAGGGAGGGAAACTGGTAGTAATAACGACGAAGCCGGGGGATATGAAATATTGCGTGTTATAAGTTTCCAGGTAATCGGGGGCCCTGGGGTTGTTAGTTATGGCACAGTGAAACTCCCTTTCGCATAATCGGTCGTTTTCTGTTAGGCAGGGGAATTACGGGTCCCTCAAGTTTCCCCGCCTTTGGAGTTGTTCGCCTTTCCAGTACTCGCGATATTCCGGGTCCCACAACTTTCGCGATCAGACATCCAAGAGGGAAATTCCGCAGCCATGTCTGTTCAGAAAGTTCGTTCCCTGCATTCTCATTCGGAGCT